TCACAAGCCACGAAGTCCAGATGAAGATCGTGGCCTAGAAGCCATAGATTGTGATCGAGATCTTGGAGGCTCAGGGCGCGAACTTCGCGATGAAGGAGCCTTGGAGAAGCAGAGAGTCTCCTTAGTCAAGTCATGGCCAACGTTCACATTACACGAGAGGAAGATCGAGGTCGCGACTTGAGGATTCCGACGACGAAGTCAGCCAGTGATCTTCCCCTTCCCGAAGGCCTCGACGACTACGTTTTGAGATCACGGCCTAGATACCAAAGGTCATGCCTGCGATATCCTTAGCTCAGGCTGCGAACTTGTCCGTGTCTGCAGATTGCCTATATATAGAAGACCCCTTTCCCCCTTTTGAGTTGAGCTTATTTTGAGAGATACTTTTTGGTTCTAGCGAGAGAGAAGAGAGAGAAGCTGCAGAAAGGAGAAGAAGGAGGAGCTAGGATCAAGAAGAGATCTTCTTCAACCCCAATTCTTCTTTTATTTCTATCATGTATCTTCTTCCCTCCTTTATGGAGTAGTCCTCTAAGGTACTAGGGGTTCTAAACCCCAAACCTTAGTTTTATGGTTTACTATGTATGTATGGATATTTTAGGGTTTGAATGAATGAATGTGTTTGTCTAGTTAATTTTAATGACACTCTTTCCTAAATGATGACGCTTGGGTAAGTCGCCCTAATCTTCCTTCTTAGCCTACTTTATGCTACCGCGCTGGGTATGGAGTTCTAGGGTTAGACGGGTATGCGCCATCTGGCGAGTTTAGGTTAGATGTATGAATGAGGGCCTATAGTGGTCTAGGCGACCAAACCCCTGCTATAGGTAGCCTTCCTAGATGGAACTTGGGATGAAACCTCGGTGTGGACGGTTGATAGTGTCCAAAAGAGTAAGATGGTGATGATGATTGAAACCAACAAAGAAAGCTGCACAAAACATAATAATAAAAGTTAGAAAGAATACTATCAACTTATACCACACAGTACTGAATACAAAATGAAAAATACCAACGCGTACCACAAGGGTACAAACTACCAACAAAATAATACCACTTCATACCAACATAATACAAACTGCTAACAAATTTAAACAACTCACAACACTACAATATAAACATTAAAACAACATACCTAGCGACCGATACTATTTATTGGTTTTGTATGTATTTTCAAAATTGATCGATTCACCTAAATAATGATAATCCATCGACGTCTTCCCATCAACCTCTACCTCATAAAAGAACACATGATCCAACTTCCCTTGATGTCGAAAGTATTTAAGCAATGTAGTGGCATCACCATGCTCCATTGATAACGTCCTCACAGTTCGCTGGTGATTCTTCAAATCTTTTCTTGTGAAACCAACAAATTCCGACCACCATCAATTATATTGATTGCATTGTACGAAATAGTAACAACTATCCCAACAACATCATTGACATCTGCCAATATTTTGTACCAAGGTTGTCAACCGCGGGTCGTCTCACTTTGACCCCTAGCCCGGTGAGAAAAACGGGCCGCACGCACCCGCCAGGTCGACCGCTATAAGGTACCAGGTTGGAGGTCAAATTGTGTCATTTTTTCTTTGGTTTGCGAAATGCGCCTATTTTTACATTTTTCTTTTCTCCTAACTCCATCTTTGGAATTCTAAGTTGAACATGTATATGTTATATATGTTGGATCTAAGTACGACATGTTATTTTGGTGGAATATTATATGTTATAACTCATATGTTAGATGAGATTTGATATAATTTATTAGTATAAGTACAATATAATGACTCTTTCCATATTTCCGGGCTAAAACGGCCTAAAATGAGTGACCCATTTACCCTTGACCCACTAGCTCCACCGTGTCCGGGTCAACCCACAGGTTGACAACCTTGTTTTGTACACAACAACCATTTCTCTATTTGATCTCATATTGTGACACATACTCTCAGAATCATCTCATGATTGTGCACATTATACATACCACTTATAAATCTTGTAACACTTGAACTATTTAAACCACTCCATTCTGATATAAGCACCATCACATCCACCCCTGTTTTCAGGAACATGACAAACAAAAACCTTTGTATCAAAACAACCTTTATTATTAGGATTGTGCTCATTGCCCTTCCTCCAACCTTCTTTATTGCAACCATACTTCATATATCAACTTCTTACATGCCGATTTTTGAAAAATTATGACAACAAAACCCTCATGATTTCCATAATCCCCGTAAAACTTATTTGGATTATCAACTATATCGAACTGTAAGTCCTTCCAATAATCTCGAACATTAGGATCTATACCAAGGAAACCTACAAGATAACAAAAGAAAATGTATTACTACCATTAATGTTGCACATTAATCATACCATGTGGTATACAATAGTACAATAATACACAAGCAAATAATGCCACCATGGTACGTTATGGTACTACTACTAAAAACCACCATAATTCTATTACTCTGCACCGTACCAATTACTACTAGCATGATATGATATAGTACTACTACTAAAAACTAACATTTTATATTAAAATGTACCATACTAATGATTACCATCATGGTATGATATGGTACGAAGCATATTCACATTTCACCTTAATAAATACATTTATATATCTTCTCATCTAACAGTGCAAGATGAAAAACCAGATCCATTAAATTGAACAATCTTGCCCTGATTTGCATCACTGATTTCAAGAAGAAAAAACAAAAGCAATAATAAAAAACATAGACGAACAACAATTTCACAAAATCATGCCAAAGGAAAAAAGGGGTAAAATACCTCGGGTACCACTAAAGTATGAGAATTGGGAGAGCTATACCACTTAAGTTTGAATATGACTGAACTCTATTATGTGTGCACCTAATACCACTTAAGTTTACTGCTAAGTGCATTCCGTTAAAGTTGACAGAATATTCTTGGAATATTCCATTTTCTAAATTTCAGAAATGATTCTTCTGTTTCTTATTACTGTAAAAAAATCCTTTGGACTTATGAACAACATCACTTTTTAATTGTTTAGTTGGAATCTTCTTTTAAATTATCATTATGTGTTCTAATAATTGAATTACTCCCTGAAGAAATATATTCTATGAATTTTATCATGATATAAATTATCTGAGGATGTTATATTTAGTTCACTTACATCATATTGATGTTGTATAATTTTTCATTTAAATCTCCTTGTAATTCTATAATATTATATTCTAGATGTTCCATATTAGTTAAATTTACTATTTCTAACTCTTTTCCTATAGTCATATTTTCTTTTCTATATTTGAAACTGAAAGTCGTAGCTTTTATAGTTTACTTATTATTTGGTTACTTTCTGTCTCATTTCGTTCTAATTTTTTTCAATTAATGAAATATGTTCAATTTTCAAATTGTGTTCCATTTATCCTTCTTTGGTCTTGATGTATTAATGGTCAATAAGGTTTTATTTTAACTGATTTTAGTAGTGCTTTTAATTGAATTATGAGTTTAAATATATCTTCTAATATTGATTTTAATTATGGATTATAATCTTTTAGTATATTTATTATTCCTTCTTCATATTCATTTATTATTTTTACTATTTTATCTATTATATTGAAAACATTTCATTAGCCATTCTAGTAGTACTATGTTTAGAAGGTTCTCTAATTTTTATATTAGATAATACTTGTTGAAATATAATTTTGATGTTTTTAAAGTTTTGGGTACAAAAAGGTAATTAAAAGTTTGGGTTGGATGGAAAACTAGACGGATGCACATTTTAGAGACTTTAATGGTACCCAGCGCCCTATTCAAACTTAAGTGGTATGTCTGCTCCAATTCTCAAATTTAAGTGATACCGGAGGTATTACCTGAAAATGCGAAAGCGATCACAAAAACATGGAGTAGAAAAAGATGAAGACGAAGAATCCTACAAATACAAAATTCAAGAAACTCTGCAAGTTTAAATGCAACAAAATATCTCAACAAAGCGAGCAATTAGCTCGAGCAAAAAGTAAAAACAAAGCACGACAAGATCAAAGCTAACAATCACACGAGCTATAAACTTCGAGAACAAAAGAAGAAAAAGAGAAAACCTAAAATCTAACCAGAAATAACATCGTTGCCGATTAAGATAAGTACAGTTATTCTCACCATCGTTAATGAGTTGAAAGAAAATTAAGCGGGATTGAAGGAGAAAATCTCTAATTGCTCTCACTCTCTCTCCTCAATAAGCTCATCTTATATAGAAGACGGAAAATAACACAAAGAGGGAAAGTAATAAAATTCAAATAACGAACAACAATACCCCTGCCTCACCCCGCGTCCAACCCACCAACACGATCATCAAATCCCATATCTAATGGTCCGTTTGTGCAGTTATATATGGATGATAATTTGAACCTAGCTCGTCGGGTATTACTCAACCTGACCTGTGATGGGGCAGGTATTACTCGAAACACACATGTTTATCAACTCCCACCGGACCTGCCCCACCTCGTTCTTGGTCCATTTTATCTCAATTTCTTACAGTATCTATACGTATTTATCCTATTTTGACTTTTCTTCAACTAATTAGACTTGATCTTTCAACTAGATAGACTCAATTATCCATTTTATTATCACTATTTTTCATTCATAAAGTGTTTTCTCATTTCTTTTATCGTAAAAAAGTAAAATTTAACATTTTTTTTCTTCAAATAACATATAAGAATCGACCCACCCGCTCCGTACACGCGCGAGTATTACCCACTCCAAACCGTACTAACATAAATGGTACATGAATATTGAGGTACCCGTCCCGCCTCACCCGCTCTATCACCACGATTACATACAATTGCATAACTCCTGGACCTTTATGTCAACAATAGATTTTGGACAAAATGCATTATGTATCTAAAATTCTAAATTCATCACCAAATCCAACAAACAACAACCCTAGTATGTTGATACGACGAAATGGTTTTCTTTCTTGGAATCACCAAGCCCGCGCTCATAAACTTCTCAGCCCTCAGGCTCTCGCTTCTTGGCCACACAAACACAAAACAAGGCACATAAGCAAATCACGAGCCAACATCGCAGCAAATTCCTACCGAAGGAATGTTCATTCTCCAAAAAATGGCGGCTTCGTCACTCTCTTTCTCCCTTCTCCTCCCCAAACCTCCACCTCCCCTACTCCCGTTCTCCCCCCGCCGCTGCCACAAACATCTCCGCCCCTCGGAGCTCTTCTCCGCCACAAGAAATGTTGGCGGTGCCCGGTGTTCTTCCTCCACCGCGTCTGTCGCTACCGAGCCTGCAATTGCTGCTCCACAGGAAGCCCAGAAAGAAGAATCAACCGAAAGAATAGTGCTCCCCACTAACGACTCTTCCGAGAAGCTTCTTAGAATTCGCCACACGGTAAAACCAAATTCCCAGTCAACCTCCAGAAGTTTCAATTGAGTTTTGACAAATTAATCTGCAGCTAGACTTTGATGAAGTTTGGAACTTTTTTGTTATTTGGTTTCTCTAGTGTGCTCATGTGATGGCCATGGCGGTTCAAAAGCTGTACCCAGAAGCGAAAGTGACTATTGGGCCGTGGATAGACAATGGGTTCTACTACGATTTCGATATGGAGCCTTTGACTGACAAAGACCTCAAGCGGGTTAAGAAAGAGATGGTGAGCTCTTTGTGTTAGTTCATTGTCCTTTGGTATGTTAACGAGCTTTAGGGGAGCATTCAATATTCATTGGGTTATTCTTTCTTAGGGTTGGTAAAAATCTTACTTCTTACCATCATCAATCTGTAGGATCGAATCATTTCCAGGAATTTACCTCTTGTAAGAGAAGAAGTTACTAGAGAAGAAGCTAAGAAGAGGATAATGGCTGTTAATGAACCTTACAAGATGGAGATTTTGGATAGCATTCCGCAAGATCCCATTACCATCTATCATATTGGTGAGCTAGCAATCATTAATTAGTGTGAGATATCGAAACCTTGATGATTTTTAAAGTTTATGTGTTATTTATGCATTTCTCATGGGGATTCTTATTAGTTTCAGTTTCCCTATTCCCTGTTATTGAAGTCAAGGTATTTAAAAGTTAGTCGTTCTACTTTATTTGAAGTTTATTGAGGTTTCATACACCAGGTGAAGAATGGTGGGATCTCTGTGCTGGACCCCACGTCGAAACAACCGGCAACATCAATAGAAAAGCTATAGAACTCGAGTCTGTTGCTGGTGCTTACTGGAGAGGAGATGAGAAGAGAGCAATGCTGCAGAGAATCTACGGAACAGCCTGGGAGAACGAAGAACAACTAATGGCATATCTTCACTTCAAAGAGGAGGCAAAACGAAGGGACCACAGACGCATTGGCCAAGACCTCGATCTTTTTTCAATACAGGATGAGGCTGGTGGAGGTCTGGTCTTCTGGCATCCAAAAGGCGCCATAGTTAGACACATTATAGAGGACACTTGGAAGAAGATTCATATAAATCGTGGTTATGACATGCTGTACACTCCACATGTAGCCAAGGCTGATCTCTGGAAGATAAGTGGTCATCTGGATTTCTACAAGGAAAACATGTTTGATCAGATGGATATTGAGGATGAACTGTATCAGCTTCGGCCTATGAATTGCCCTTACCATATCTTGGTTTACAAGAGGAAGCTTCACTCTTATCGAGACTTCCCAATTAGGGTTGCAGAGCTTGGAACAGTGTATCGATATGAGCTCTCTGGAAGCTTACATGGGCTATTTCGTGTGAGAGGTTTCACCCAGGATGATGCTCATATATTTTGCTTGGAAGATCAGATCAAGGATGAAATTCGGGGTGTTCTAGATCTTACCGAGGAGATATTGTTGCAATTCGGATTCAGTAGATATGAAGTTAACCTCTCGACTAGACCTGAGAAAGCCGTGGGAGATGATGAGATATGGGAGAAGGCAACATGTGCTTTGAAAGATGCTTTGGATGATAAAGGATGGAGCTATCAAGTTGATGAAGGAGGTGGTGCTTTCTACGGCCCAAAGATTGACCTTAAGATCGAGGATGCTCTCGGAAGGAAGTGGCAGTGCTCCACCATACAGGTATACCTTACATTGCCCTTATTGTTCTTCGCTCATATGACTTTAAACGTGTTCGAAAAACCAACGGCTGTGCCTTCTTGAGGAACTCTTGCAGGTTGATTTCAACTTGCCTCAGCGATTCGACATTACATACGTTGATGCAGACCAAGAGAGGAAGCGGCCCATCATGATCCACCGAGCTGTGCTTGGTTCCTTGGAAAGGTTTTTCGGAGTCCTCATCGAGCATTATGCCGGGGACTTCCCGTTGTGGCTTTCGCCTGTGCAAGTTCGAGTGTTACCCGTGACTGATACACAGGTAAACAGTCTCTCTGTCTCTCGCTGGGGTTATTATCATATTCTTTTTGTGGGCATGCATCTGTACAGAATAATTCGCATAATGCTCTGTTGCCACTCTTCTAGCTTGAATACTGCAACAATGTGGCAAGGGAATTGAAGCGAAATGGGATCCGAGCTGAAGTTTGGCACGGGGAAAGGTTGCCTAAGCTGATAAGGAATGCTGAGAAGCAGAAGACTCCATTGATGGCGGTTGTTGGGGCTAAGGAGGTTGAGATGCAGACAGTTACTGTTAGATCTAGGTTTTCTGGGGAATTGGGGACTTTGGAAGTTGACAGTTTTATCAGCAGAATCAAGGATGCGTGTGAAAACAGAACTTCACTGTAAAGTTCTTAGAGACTACTACTTTGTTTTCATTCTACACATTATTGTTACCATAATTGTTCCCAGAACTTTCTATACATGTTATAACAGGGATATAGAGACCAAACTCATATAAGTGGATTCGTGTTGCAAGCTCTGTTGCTGGAACTATAAAAGATATTATTGAGTTGTAATGAATTATGTCCTAATTTAAAAGCGACTGTAGGATCGAAATTTTCTAGGAATTTACCTCTTGTGGAAGTTACTCGAGAGGAAGCTTAGAAGAGGGTTCTCAATCTCACAATGATCATAACCAGGATTCTCAATGTCCCCGATCGTGATTTGCTTCCTTTGCAGTAGTGATCTTGTATGAGTTGGCCATTTTTCCATCCTTCAGTTGATGTCCAGAAACTTGCTACACAGTACACACTTTGTTAATATGTTAGAAACTTAGAACTTGAAATTAGATGATAAAACACAAACAAGCATATGATAGGAATATAAATGAGCAAGTTACGAGCCAAATGGAGAAAAAAAAGATAGATTTCATGTTAAGTCCTAGAATATCACAACTTAGCTACATATAACACAAAATCAATCTAAAATGTCAAAGAATGATGATTGTGACATTGAAACATCTAAGAAATAAGGTCTAAAATATGCAAAAATTGAGTGTCATCAATTTTCTAGAATCTTAGGTGTATCCAAGTGGAATCATTGAAATCCTACGCCAACTGCGTCATGGAATTTCAAACAAAATGAAATTGGCATTACTCACCTATTGAATTAGAAATAATCCTGACCTTATGGCGGATACCTTGTAGTAGCAGTTTAGGCCAAGTCCAATGCAAAACCCCAAATTTGGGGGCCTTGAACTCCAAATTTGGGGATTGAACCTCATTTTCTCTTCTTTTGCTCCAATGCAACAAATTCTATATTTGGGGTTCTTAATATTTCTAGTTTTTCCATTTATTTAAAAATTTACTTATCGAAACTTTAATATAATTTGTTCATGTTAATTTTTGTATAGTTCATCATCATTTTTAAATACAAATTTTTCGATAGAATTTTGTTAAATTTCGAGACCGAATTTTTTTTGGCGAAAAATTATGAACCTAATTTGGGCTTAACGAGTTGACATAATAATTCAAATGGTACAATTCATAGGTTACACACAACACTTGCTAATCATAAAGCTTAAATATTACACAACACTTGAAAATGATAAAGTTTAAAAATAACACACAACACTTGAAATGATAAAAAGGAAACACTTAACATTGTTGTTGCTTGGTATCGATGCTCGGATGCTTTGTAATTCAATTAAAGTTGTATGGTGACAATTTATTTTGTAATTTACGAACGCATTTTCATTTCAATAATATAATTTCCATTCTTAGTTCAATCTAATTTTTGTTTACACACAACTTAAAGATGATAAACATAAATTTTAAATAAAATGAATTCAATTTAAGTCATCTTAGAAAATAGCCTAAATACACAAATATTAAATACAAATTAAATACAATCTAGAAAGTCTAAATACAAACATTAATTTCCCTTCCCCTAATTAATTACATACAATTCCCTTAATAAATGTCCTTAAACAACTCAACAACAATTAAAAAAAAAAAGATGTTGGCGTGCACAGCCGCCGGGGCTGGGTCATAGCAAACCCCGTAGCTACTTGTACTAAAAAACAAGTAAGTGTAATTCCTCCTAAACAATAAAATATGTTGACATGGGGCGGAACATATTTACTAGTTATATCATCCGCAATAGCTCTCTCCCTTGAGCGTGTGGCGCACCGCCCAGCCCCGACGGTTGTGCCGCGCGGCAGACAACTCATCCTCCATAAATGCCGAAATCGGCAAACCCTCCCCATATATAGCGATCCAATTGCCGATCGCCTCCATAATTGCTGATTTTCGGCATTTATTTCTCTGCGTTGGAACTCCAACATCGGCATTAATGCCGACAACCCCATAAATACAGGCTGCATTGGACTCAGCCGTAGCCCTTCATGGTAAGAGCGAAGGTGAGAGAGCCGCATAAGGAGCATACAAACTACAAAGATGTGTAGAGATGTAGGAGACAAACTATGTGTATTCGGTTAACATGTAGGAATGTAAGCAACTTAAAACTGCAGCCTGATGTCAAATAAGGTATATAGAGGGTAATTTAATTAACAATTAATTAATGATACCTACATATTTTAATGTAATTAGTAAAATACGTACAAATTCATTTGAAAATTCCAACCCAATTAATGATACCTGTTTGAACCTACTAGCTCGGGTATGAACAATGATATTTGTTGGTGTGGGTTGACTCGTCATCCGTTCGTCGGATCTCGGCGGGAGGGAGAGAACCTGTGAAAGAGCCGGGGTTGCCCCCCGGATTCAGCTCCGACGATCAAGTCAGCTTCTTTGTAAGGTGAAAGTTGAGAGAACAAGGTAGAGAGATAATGTGTAGAGAGATAATGGAAAATGAAAAGTGAGGAGGGAGAGCCAAAAGTCCCCCTTCCTTGGTGGGTTTCGTACCTTTATATACTCGTAGCGGGCTTAGAGCGTCGTACGTTGTCGATTGGACGCGGTATTACTTAGTCTCTGCGGGGAGTCTCTTAGCAACACCCCCAACAATACCTACGTCATTTTTTTCAACCAGTTTACTAGATGAAGGATGTAATTCGCAATGGTCTGCGGCTAGTTGCAAGTCTTATCTAATATAAAAATTAGAAAACCTTCTAAACATAGTATTACTAGAATTGCTAATGAAATTTTTTTCAATAAAATAGATAAATTAGTAAAAATAATAAATGTATATCACGAAGTAATAATGAATATACTAGAAGATAATAATAAATATTTACGATTCATATTAGAAAATCTATTTAAACTCCTAATCCAATGAAAAGCACCACTAATAATAGTTAAAATAGAATTTAATCGACTATCAATACATTAAGATCAAAAAAGGATAAATGGAACACAATCCGAAAGAATTAAACATATGCCAGTAATTGAAAAAAATTAGAACGAAAAGAGATGGAAAGTAACCAAGTAATAACTAAACTATAAAGCTACAATATTCAGTAACAAATCTAGAAAAAAATGATTGTAGGAAGAGAATTACAGTTAGTAAATTGACTAAGATGGAACAACTACAATATAATATTAGAGAATAACACGAAGATTTAACATGGAAAAATAGACACATCAACATGATGTAAGAGAAATAAATATAACATCCTCATATTATTTATATTGAGACAAAATTCATAGGATATATTTGCTTCAGGAATTAATTCAATTATTAGAACACATAATGATAATTAAAAATATTTATAATGATAATTAATTCTAAATTTCCCATTCAAAAATTGATTTGATTAGAGTTTTCAAAAGAGGATTCCAACTAAAGAATAAAAAATGATGTTTTTCATAAGTCCAAAGGATTTTTTTTTAAATAAGAAAAGATGAAGGATCATTTCTGAAATTTAGAAAACGAAATATTCCAAGAACATTCTATCAACTTTAACAGAATGTACTTAACAGTAAACTAAAGTGGTACCGGGTGCACATATAATAGAGTTCAGTGGCACCCGACGCCCTATTCAAACTTAAGTAGTATAGCTCTCCCAATTCTCATACTTTAGTGATACCCGAGATATTTTATCCGCTGAATTTGGGTGGTTTGTAGAGTTCTAGTTTGTGAGTTGGTATTATTATTATTATTTTGAGTTGCATCACTTAAAAACAATCACTTAAACATTTAGTGGTACCCGAGGAAACCACGTAAATCCTGTGTTTCGCATTCTCATCTTGTATTTTGAGATGGTATCAGAGTCTCACAATCTCTGAGTTCTCCTTCGTGATCTCGTACATGTGTTCGTGTTTGATGTGGTGTTCTTGTATGCTCGTGGGCATTCGCATTTGTGGCCTACGCTCTGTTTGTGGGATTAATCTATCATTGGCTGGGATTTTTTGGCAGCTCTCCTTGTGCTTGCTGCGACTGCAGGTGTGTTTTTATATTGCTGGGCTTTCTTGATTTCTACTGTCTTTGTGGACTTCTTGGCAGCTGGGTTTATTGTCTCCTGTGTTTTTTTTTTGAATTCGGTCTCTTGTGGTTGGGTTCGTGGCTTGTGATCACTCGTCATTGTCGGCAGCTGTGATTGTCTTTTGGTGGGTTGTTCTTTGTCGCTGGGATTTATTTGGTTGCTTGGAGTTTTTTTCCGGGTGGTTTTGGTTCTTCTCTCTGTTCGACAATCATGGATAGTTCCAAGGGAGATCTGATTTCGGTTCGTTTTAATGGTAAGAACTTTGCTATTTGGGAATTCCAGTTTTGGATTCATGTTCAAGGGTGCCGGTTATTATCTATCCTTGATGGTACTGTTCGTGAGCCGGCTGCGGATGCTACGGCCAAGGTGAAGAAAGACTGGGCTGCGAATAATGCTTAGGTCATGGGATGGATTGTTGGCTCGATTGATCCAGGCATTGCTCTCAGTCTCCGTGGTTACTCCACAACTCATGGGATGTGGAAGCATCTTACTAATCTATACTCCAAGGCCAGTGCATCCCGGAAGTTTGATGTTGAAACTGATCTTTCTAATCTGCGGCAAGGTGATCGTGATATCAGCACCTACTATCAGGACACAGTTACACTCGACTGAGCATGATTTGTTGTTGAGCTCCCTGGTTTCTACTGTTGCCTCAACCGAGGTGCTTCAGGAGAGGAATCATTCACGTGTTATGCGGTTTCTCATGGGACTCCGCGCTGAATTTGAAGGCTTATGGGCTTCTTTGCTGCATCGAGGCGTGGACACTATTGTGGAAGTTCTTTTCTAGTTGCTTCGCGAGGAGACTCGTCTGCGTAGCCAGAAGAAGCTGGATATCCATGCTAGTGATGCTTCTCCGGCCTTTGCAGTTCATGGGGGAAAGCCCCAATTTCATCGTACTGCGAAAGGAGAGATCATCTGTCACTATTGCAAGGAACCCGATCACATTCAGTTTCACTGCAAGAGGTGCAACTCCTGCAACTACTGCAAACAAGATGGACATTTGATTGGGGAGTGTCCCATTCTGGCTCGTCGTGGGCGTGGACGTGGTAATGGGTCTCATGGAGGGCGTGGTCCAGCTCCTCCGGCCTATGCTACTGCTGTCCCCGCTACCTCGTCTTCCCTCACGCCGGAGGATGTTCGCAGGTTGGTGCA